TAGTTGGGCATGGTTGAGTCGACGTCTTCGTCTTTTCGTAGCATCATTTTTTTTAGGATACGTGCGCCTCCGCAGAGACGTGTAGGTTGTTTAATTGGCAACAACACTTTGAGAGGATACCTTGCGGCAACAAAGGAGTATCAAGGATATCATGGTTGAAGAACGCCGAAGACATTGCTGTCTTGCGGGTAACCTGCCGTGCCGGCAATCTGCGGACATGCATATCGTTTGGTGTTTTCCTATTTGCAAGACTTGTGCTTGCAACCCAATACTACGTTGGGTGTTGACGGGAACTCTGAGGCACGCTTGGGTTCCGCAAATTCGGAGCCTTGCAATCCTTCCCGTCTCCGCGCATGCTCACTTGAAGCGCAGGAATGTGTTCGCGATGGGATTCGACAAGACCCCCAATTTTTAGCGTGTGTGTGGGTCTCCTTCAGGTCTGCAACCTGGAGCAATGTTTCACCCACGCGACGAATATTTAATGCAGGGATGCAGAGACATCATTAAAAGTTGTATCAACGACAACAACGTTTTCGATTCACACGCTCCTAATTAGGAAAAAAAAAAGTCGAACATGCCCACACTTTTAATGCCCTAGGTAAAACAAGCACCCGCCGAGACCTACCGGACCCCGCTTTCATCCGCACACGATGCATGTTAACCATGAAGTGTTGCCGGCATGAACAAACACATTACGAACAAAGTGTACCAGGACACATCTGGTGAGAGCGCTCCACGCCGACACCCACAAAACATGTCAGCGAGAATCAACATGTCACACATCACACCCCCCACCTCTCCCCGGGATGCGCCGACACCCTAGCGCTAACACCCAAATCACGTTGTTCCAGCGCCCTCCGCCCTCTACATTGAGGTACCTCCCTCTCGCGCCCCTCCCTCCCGCGCCGCTATCCTCCCTTTCACGCGTCTCGTCATCCCGTGGAAACTAGCCTACTTCTGCCGCCATCCGCTCATGTAGCCCCTAACCCCCACCCGCCCTTTTAGTGTACCCACCACGGCCAGAATCGCATCCCTGTGCGCCCCCCCCCCCCCCCCTTCCCCCCCGCCGCGCCTCTCGCCCGCTTGTAGTAGCGACCTTCCCCCCCATCCGCCTCCATCCGCCCCTATGTAGACCCGTCCCCACTTCCCGCTTGTGCGCACGCGACGCGATGCGAGCTGGATACGTGCTTACGAATTCCTCCGGCGGTTGTAGTCCGGCCTCCACTGCTTCTTCAACTCCAGGGCCGTGCGGATAGCCGCTCGGGCCGGGGTCTCACCGCTCCTCGAAGGAGCCGGTTGCTCCGTTTGCCAGCCAGCCGGCAAGGTGCGCTGCGTAGCACAGAGGGCCAGCCGGTTGCGCCCGCTGCGGGAGTCCTCCTCTGCAAGCTGGATCGGCGCTACCTTCTCGTCTTGCAGGAAGTTGTGCAGATGAAAAAGAGCCGTGATGAGATCCGCGCGTCCTCCGAACTGCACACGGAGAGGTCGCCACAGAATGCCCCAAGTCGAAACCAGGATGCCGAAGCTCTGCTCGATCTTGACACGAAGCTGGCTCAGGTGGAAGTTGAACGAGTCCTCACCCGGCGGCAGGAGCCTCCCAGGGTATGGCGTCAGAAGCTTTTCTCCGATGGGGTAGGCGGCGTCACCAATGATGTGAAATCCGGCGGGCAAGCGGGCGACGGCCTTGGCGAGGGAAGATCGATTCCATGCCACCCAGTCGTTCGTGGAGCCTGGAGAGATCGCCGACATTGCGCAGAACCGGTAGTCGGCGGTGCACATCGCTTGTACGTTGATGCCGTACGCGGACTTGCTGCCGGAGTAGTACGCGATGACGTTGGCGGTGTCCTTCGCACACGGAGCCTTGGCCTTGATGAACAGACCATCCACGGCGGCGACGACCCAGGAGAAAATTCCATCGGTGCTCTTCTCCTGCATTTGTAGGCGGCAGACGCGAGGGCGGGAGAGTAGCAGTGCCGGGAAGGGGAAAAAAAATTGGTCGAGAGATGGACGCTGACGAACTTCGGTAAATTGCGTTCGGCTGTACGTTGTGTGGGTTGATGTCGTGTACGACGGCGCCATCACCAGCAACGGTGCACATACCGTGTTTCTAATCCTAATATTTCTCAGGTTCAGCGGTAAAAATGTACCAGGGTATCTCAGCGCCACGTGGTTGACTAAAAGCAGTTGCTGGGCCACTGTTGCGGGGCGGAACCAACACGGCGAGCATAAACTAATGATGACACAAAAAAAAACATTTACTTGTAAAAAGGCCATTTGTACAAAGACCAACAGCTGGCGAACCACCCGGGACTCGGGGGTTGTTTTTCGATCAAAGGCATGCTGACCACGATGACAACCCGAACTTGTATCCGCCGGGGGGGTTTTTACTGCGATGCCGTCGAAGGCTGTGTATAGGCCTCCCTACAGAAAAACGGCTGCAAACGCCGGACGTAATTTAAAATAAAACGACATCCCGCGGCTGGTCAAGAGAATGCCACCAAGAATAACCCACAGCAGCAGTAGTGACCACCGTTAGGCCTCACCTTGAATCTGTTGGCATTTCGCATGCAGCCTTCCTCGGTCAGGGGGAAGTCGAATGCCCCAACCGCAGGCAACTTGTTGATGGCGTCGATCACCGACCACAAGATCTGGTACGTGGTCGGCACCGACAAGCCAAACATGAGGGCAACATCCCAGTAACTAGCGCCAGCCAGGATCCTCAACGCCACGGCAACGCGGACTTCTACAGCTATGGCGCCGTTGATTGGCGATCGCAGTGCTGTGGGGTTTCGGAGCGACGCGCAGAAAATGTNGCATATGAGGAGCACGTGTCGACTCTTGTATGCTATCATTGCGGGATACGACAACCTGTGTAGGCTCCGGACGAAGCATGTATAATGTATAATGGTGCCGGCGTGTGTTGCACGCTCTATTCATACTGCTGAAAATATTTCAGCGCCACCATAGTGCCTTCCTGTCGTTCCCATACAACGACTGCTGCTGTACGCAAATGCAGACACTGCTGTACCTACTGCTATAGAATAAGTGCTGCTGCGTGTATGCATACCCTGGCTGCATGTTTCGATGAGGGAGTTTTTTTTGAAGAAGATAGCAGACAAACAGCAAGGCAGTCTACAGCAGCAGTAGTGTTTCTCCTGGGTTTCAGACTTGCTCTTCCCCGTTGTTCTCTACGTATACATGAGAGGAAGCNGCCTTCCTGTCGTTCCCATACAACGACTGCTGCTGTACGCAAATGCAGACACTGCTGTACCTACTGCTATAGAATAAGTGCTGCTGCGTGTATGCATACCCTGGCTGCATGTTTCGATGAGGGAGTTTTTTTTGAAGAAGATAGCAGACAAACAGCAAGGCAGTCTACAGCAGCAGTAGTGTTTCTCCTGGGTTTCAGACTTGCTCTTCCCCGTTGTTCTCTACGTATACATGAGAGGAAGCCTTACGCATACCTGCCGTGGGCGGCTGCATTTACACATCAACACTCACCGCCGAAGAAGCCGTTGACTGCCAGCGAAGGGCGGAGTAGCTCGACAAGCTTGTGGAAGCTGGCCTTCT